TCGACCCTACGGGCTTTGCTGACGCTAACCCAGAACTAGAAAATCCAAAAAAGTATCGAGTGAGACATAACGATTGGAGAATTTGTAGGTGTTTTTCAAGTAGTTGTGGTTTCGAGCTCAGGCTTCCGTGTCGATCGCAGTGGTCCATGAACTGCCGAGCAGTATTCCTAAGAATGACCCAGCTTAAGAGCAATCATTTCTGGGTTCTTCTACTATCTCGTGAACACTGTGGACGGAGCGGCATGGCGCACGTACCATTGCAACAGTTGGACGTCTGCAGGATCGAATCCCCACCAGAATTCCGCTCAACTCTTCAAAACCGCGGGAGTAGTTAAATGGCACAAAACTCGTATGGGACCGTAAAAATTCATGCTCAGTTGATCTTCATCCTTTGAGTCTTGCAACTCGTTATGTGGTCAAGAGGTATCTCAAATGCTACAATGAGTTTGCAACTCCGAAAAACTTGCGAAGGAATATCCTGCCACCATCAAGTTCCGCCGCTAAGACAGCCGGTGAACGAGTCCGCCCAATGTTGCGATCGTCAAGCGCGTGAACAGTGATTCGGATGCTATTAAGTTGGTGCCAGATGTTATTATCAGGAAAGTTGATCTCGTGTGCCGATTCGCTGCCTTTCTCAGAGGTGGGAAAGTATAGGTTGGAAAGAAAGTCCTGTCACTGTTGTGATTTTTTTTTATTTTCTAACTCAACATGAAATAAAAACTAATCAATAATATAATCGCCATTGTTAGCCACTACAGTGCTCCACCTAATGGGCAACTCAGCTATCCCCTTCTCCCAGAACTGAGGAGGCTGCGAGTCGAAGAAGTAGGCAACTTCTCGATTGATGCCATCAAATTCGCTGAAGGTTTTCTTACCTAGGAAAGCCTTGAGGGAGCGGAACAAGTAGTAGTCGGAGGGGGCTAGGTCTGGAGAATATGGTGGATGGGGAACGGTCTCCCAGCCTAGCTCCTCAATTTGGCGGGGGTCTCTTTAGCCACATGTGGTCTGGCGTTATCATGGAGGAGGTGCACCGAAGCTCGTCTCGGCCGCTTTTCTCGAAGAGCTTGCGCGAGTTTCTGGAGTTGGGCGGCGTAAACGGTAGCGGTAACCGTATGCCCTTGCGGAAGCAGCTCGTGGTGCAGCATGCCCTTCGAATCCCAGAAGCAGCAGAGGAGGACCTTCTTGGAGTGCAGGTTCGATCTGGGTTGCGTAGGCGGGTCTTCTCCTCGAGGGAGCCACATGGCACGACGTAGGTTGGAATCATAGAGGACCCAGCTTTCATCTCCAGTCACAATATCTTCCAGAAACTCCTTCCGGTTACGGTGTAGAAGGAGGGATCGACAGATGCTCACCCTGGCATACCGCGTGCCATCTGTTAGAGCATGAGGTATCCATCGCGTGAGGACTTTTCTGTAGCCAAGGGCCTGAAGGCGGTTTAGAGCTGTTGTATGGCTACACCCTAGCCTTGTCGCAATACTGCGCGTGGTAGCCTCTGGATCCTCTCTGACAGGTTCGAGAACGGCGGAATCTTCTACGCCGCGAGGGCGTCCCAGACGAGGTTTGTCTTCGAAGATCGTCTCTCCTTTCGCGAAGCGAGCGAACCAACGGTGGACAGTCCTGACGGTGGTGGTGTCCTCCCCAATGCACAGTTGATGTTACGGGCCGCTGCCGTCGCTCCAGTGCCGCGGCGCCACTCATAGAAGATGATCACTCGAAGCTGCTCCAGTGAAACTGACATCATAAATAAACACAGGGAAGAGCAGGAGCCTTGATATACCTCTTGTGGAAAAGCTTCGAGAATGTTCTACAACCTTAGCATGTTACGTCATGTTCGAGCTTCGAAGATCAAAAACTGTAGGCTATCTAAAAAACACTGACAGGACTTTCTTTCCAACCTATATAACCATTCATAGTGGCTTAGGGCAAGCTCCGTTATTGTTTTCGTGACAGTAAAGGTTGGATGATTGAAGAACTGGTGATAGATTGTTTGCCTAGTTGTCCTAGTATTAAATGTCGCAAAGTATGAACGCAATCCTAATGAATGAAGCCATTCTTGCTTGGTTGTGCTTTGTTCTGTTTTCTGCTTCACTAACAGGTGTTTCCATCATATAACCTTTGCGATTTGCCTTCATGATTCATAATGGGAACCTCACTCCCAGGATACAGACGACTGCCCATAGGCTTGTTACGACTCGTTACTTAATTTATTAATCGTCGTTCTTGAACTGGATATGTCCAGCCTGCCAAGATTTTGAAGAAACCTGTGGTGTTTCACAGACAGTGTTGCCCTGCAATGCTCGTTGCTATTCGAAATTTGTTCAGTATATCTAGGGCCTAGAACCCGGAATGTACTCTTGCGAGGTCCACGCAGGTGTGCCGACAACCTCGAATGGTTCCATAGAAACAACTTCGGGATTGTCAACGGATTCCACGACTTCCTGTCTGGAATACTGTAATCGCAGCTGGTTGCTTTTTCGTCGTTGTTTTGTAAAAGGGGATACTAAGATGTCCGCGCTCCTTTTGGCTCGCATTCCATAGCTCTCCACTCTTACCTTATTTCCCTCTATATTCATAGCGTCTACTTCCTTCCCTCTCCTTCATCCTCGCTGCCTCCAGTTCACTCCGGCACAGTATTCCACAAAAACACTGAAGATTTCGTACACAAAATCGTGCACGATCTTTTTTGTAATCTTGGCATGATCACTACCAGCAGTATTCAGGGAGCCTTCCAATTATGGTACACCTTTATTCGGCTGACGTGTGGGCCTTTTTGTCCTTCAGAACCTGACAAGATGATAATCACTTGGAAATGATCTATTCAAGAACCTAAGGACGACGTCCTGGACTAGTGAACTACGGGCAGTTGCCAATCAATCTGAGGTTGCTACAAAGCTCACCTTGTACTCCTTCGCTATTATCGTTCTCCTCCCGTGTGGTGCGGATGGAGCTGCTCCTTTCATTTACTACTGATGCTAAAATTGGAATTATTTATTCAGGAGGGCAATTCAGAAGAGCACTGTTGTCCCCTCAAGTCGTCTGCAGCATCTGCGGGTCCATAGTTTCCACCAAATTCGTGTGCCAGGAAAAAAAACCCTGTGCTTCACCACGGTTGCACGCTGACTGCATTTCCGCATTACTAAAGGCTACCAGAATATTAGACGTGGTGGTTAGCAGCTGCTAGAGCTTCCATTCTCACCCATCTCCTAGTGGCTGACATCTTAGGCACAGGCAACCATCAAGTTTAAGTTTACTCTGCAAAAAACTCGAAAGGACTTTCCATTTGCCTTTCGTCCACCTTAGCACTGGAAAATAGGCAGCAATCCCAATTTGAAGGGTGTTTATCCGATATCTCGAGCTCTCTTGACCCTATGAATGTTCATAGTACTTTCAATGCCAGTTTGGCTTAAACTTACTGTACTCACCGCAAAAAAGCCAAGCTGCTATTTCTCGGCTTGTGCTAGTCGGATTGGCCCTGAAAAACCACTGCAGTAGCTGTTATCCCATTATTTTTTGCAGGTATCAAGTTGTAACGATCATGTTGGTACACGTAGTCCCAACCGCGGCTTTTGCCCTGAATCCATATCCAGGATATCCAGATTCACGTTCAGGATCTCCATATCTACACGGTCCATATCCATACCCACACAATCTATTAGGTCATCCCATTCAAACGTGCCGCTACATATAGAGGAATGGCAGAAAAGCAAAGGGGATAGAGCAGCGGGCTACTATACCATTTGGAAGCTAGTACCTTAAGCTGTGGAAGTGTCTTACTTGCACATAGCCGGCGATTCAGGCTTGGGGGAATGGCGGTGGCTGTAGAGACGAGCGCAACGGCGAGGACAATGTACACAGCGTTTCGGGGGGTTGGCGAACGCAGCCACAGTCAGGGGATCGACTCGGTGTTGCCTGGGGCGCGGGCGGGGGCCGGGGGGGGCGCTGGCCTAGTGGCCAATGTCGATCGATACCAGGCTGAGTGACTGACAAACGTTCCCCAAATTCTTCTCAGTCAGGGCACATCATTGGTTGGGGATTTTAGTCGAGTCTGCAACCCCCCCCCCCCTTCCGGCCGTCTGTTCCTCCTCATCGAGCCGCCGAGCGGGGATGTGGGGGAGGGGGAGTAAACAACACATGTGAAACGGGAAAGGTCGCGAGACAATACGACCCCCCCCTCTACCGATTTTCCAGATTCCCCAACTTTCTGGCCACGCAATTTTGGCTGTACGAGGGGGGGGGGACATATCACCTGTATCACCTGTGCTCCCGTTGATCATCGAGTTCCTCGACGGGCGCCAGTAACGTCTCCATTCGTCCCTATAGTACGCATGAAAAGGAAAATCACTGAAGGTCCATACCACCACACGGCACACGCACCTCACTCCTAGAAGGCAGGAAGCTAAATACGACCCCCCCACCCTCACTTGGGTGATTCCCAACAACGATGTGCCCTGTTCTCAGTACGTAAGAGGGGCGACTCCGATCGGTTCCCGTTCGCCACTGCATTCGCGTCCATAGCCTCGGGCGCCGTTGCAATCGTGTGGCGGCGTTACAAGCCGCGTGAGCTCCGCGGAGTCTGAACCCTGTCTTACGATATCAAATCCAAGATTCAAAAAGGACTGGTGAGTAGCTGACGAAAAACTGCTCGCGGGCCAAATACGTCGAGCGCTACTGAAGACCAGTGTTGCTCAGAGAAACTACAATGGCTTCTCACCACTGCAAATTTTGACCTCGTGCGGTTCCATGTTGTTTCTGTAGAAGGCCTAAAAAAGTCTCATTTGATCGGAGTGGGCATGGCAGTGTACCTCATTAAGAAGTGGCAGACGATACGCCTTTCGTAGGGATATTGGCGACTGGGGAAACAAGTCAATAATGTGCTTATGTTTACGCAACACACACACAAGGATGTCAGTTGCTCCAAAGGAAATATCCCATGAAAAACATATGTTCAAGTGAAGTAAGCAGCCACGCTCTATCTGTCTTTGGGATATGGAGTGTAGCTGTCACCTCCTGTTTGTGATGAAAGTATCCGCCAATTGGTCCAGAGGAATGTGCGGTACAATATCTCTCCAGTGAGTCACACGAAATGAGTACTCCAACTGAAATTGGGAGAATTTCTTCAGTTGGGAGCGATACCATCGATAAAAGCATAGAAACGTGCTGTATTGGTCACGTCATGCAGCCAATACACTCGTTACCGCGGAAGTTACTTGGGGCGTGTCAAACGGCGCGTGGGTTTGGGCGCGGCGCCAGCTTCCAGCGCAACAATCATAGAACGTTCGAGTTATTTAGACCCAAGGCGAATCCGCACGAAAGACAGGTTGGCACTGCGCTAAATCTCCGCCAGAACGCCCCAATGACTTCAGTGATAACAACTGTAGCGGGCCAGCATATGCAGACATCTGAAAAGGCTTTTTGGTGCGGTGTCAGCACATTCGCCTTTACTCACCGTACCTGATTGTTGTGATGAACGGAAAGAGATATCCCCAGTTCTGGGCTGTCCGAATGTGACCAGTTTGACTTCGCTCGAATTTGCAAGACGTGATCCAACTAAGAAAGAAGCCGCCAGTGATGCTACTGATCCCCCAAGAGAATGCCCAGTAACCTGCAAAGCACAAGCAGCAGATTTTGCCTGGAAAAAAGGGTAGGGGGGAGCGTCACATCAAACTCAATAGTACCCACCCAAAAATTTTCCGTATTTGGATACATTGCTCTCAATGCTCGGAAATCGGCATCCATCCCATGGCTCCAGATTTTGCTGAATGCATCGCTGAAGTACGCGGATATTCTGCCACCAAAAAGCCACGATGCCTGGAATTTTTCACATTGCTCTCGTGCTACAAACGAATGAATGAAGCTGAAAGAATTACCAAATGTAAGAAGACTGTTTTGGTGATTTCCTGAAGTAGTTGGAGGAAACGTATTGTTCCTCTGAATATAAGAAAAACTTTTTTGTAACGGAAACGAGAATACGGCCAACGAGGAACTGAACATTGCTCACCTGAAACTCAGCACAATTGCTTTCTCGTTGTGGAGAACGGCAGTGATACCGCCGGTAGCAGGTGGTGCCTTTTTTGCAAGGGCTATCACAGTGACACAGGTGACTTGAACGATGAAGGCTGTAAATTTTGCTAGTCGTGGCGGCTAAATGGAGCTACCCACAGGAGACAATCAAGGGCTGAAACCGCTCACTGTTGCATTTTTGAACAGTCGGCTGAGACATTGCTGCGGCTGGTCCGAATAGGCCGCTGCACTCAGCGGAAGCATGAAATTTCTTGCCAGAGGGTCCGAGTACTGCGGAGCAGCGTTAGCAGCTTGTACCACAAGGAAGACGACAAGAAGGATCACTATCCCAGAACTCATCTGAAAATTATCCTCAAAAAGGCCGTCCACTTCTTTTCTTTCTAGGTCAATTATTACCTGAAATTCTTTTTGATACGCGGTATGATTCGGGAGTGCAGAGGACTCTTCTCAGCACGAAATAGTAAAAGATTTTTTAATGTTTCAAGAGTTGTGAGAAGTCATCAACTTTGAACAAACAGTTCTTCCAGTGAGTTTTCTTTCAGCTGAAATTGAAAATTATGTGATATTCCGACGATGACACGCGGGATCGTCGGTCCGGCGGCGTCACCCTACGCAAACGCATGACATTGAAGCTGCTGGGATAGGCGGGCGTGAACTTCGCGAGCTTTCAATAGATTGAAATTCATAGCAAAAATGTTGCAGAGTTCGAGTGCTTGTTGCCTGCGTAAAAATCCGAAACTGAAATGATGAAAGCTACAGGCCGAAGCTTAATGAGAAACACTCCAGTTGGCAACACATGAATCTATTTTAGCACAGTTTTTGTCGCCTACAAGGCCCAGTAATCTGGACACTTGGCTCGGAATCCAGGAAACGACTTTATAGCGCCATAATCAGATGTAAAAAGTGCGATATCATGCATCGCCCTTTTAATGGCTTGACAATCTGTTAATGTGGCTCTCTTCTAATCAGACACCGTCTATCAAAATCCATGTTAACAATTATGTCACGCTCACATATTTTTTACAAGTCATGGAGAGCTTTGCAAATTTGGAATATGATAATGGACGGGAGCAACTCGCGTCAGCATCCCTGCTGATGCGAGCATTAGCGTAGCAATTGTGAGCACCTCCTCACCTACTGGGGAAGCGCTCCAGGAAGAAGAGGCTGTTGGTGGTGGGCAGTTACCGAGCGCTGATTCCGAGCCTTCTTCCCAAATTTGCGAAGTAGTTTTCTTATGTACCTAAACCCTCGGAAAAGCCCAGGAGTATTAGCACACACTCTCAGTGCCTGGTCGTTTCACCCTTCAGCGTTCAGGATCGCCGTCGCAGGTCCCGATTCCAGTTGATTCACACCTTTTCTTTTCTGTGGTTAATCTGGTCCTCAGAAAGTGGTCCGTCATGCCGCTGACACTCACCTATGCGAATCTGATTGGTAGATCAAATTATTGATTTTGATTTCTGATCTCTGATGCCGCTCAGTCTCTTCGACGACCCTGTTTGAGTCCGAAAATTCGCTTATGTGTAGTTAATCTGGAAGGAGTCGTCAAATTATGGTTCCAAATGGGACAATGGAAAAACAAAAACTGCTCTGGATCTCCTAAGCACAACATAGGGAGCTCATCTGGCCTTTAGTGGCCATTGGGACTACTGAAACCAAATGGAATTCATAAATAGTTTCTTTATCGTCGGCGACGACATGTCAACTTTTATTGACATTGAGGTCACGTGATTGAGCGACTTTTCAACATGCCACACTATCTTCTCCCATTGTCATTCCTGGCGCTTTTTTCCCCCCAATTTTAAGTGGACGCCAAACGGGGATACGACTCTGATGCTTGTTGTGTACAGTAACAGCTTCGTAGTTCGAAAGATCAAGGCGAGAGCGAATTTGGCGGTTGTTCGTCAGAGGAAACGTGGAAGATCCTAACGGGCCCGGCATGCGCGGACTCCGATCATAGGGTTCTTCATTCCCCTTGCTTCAGAAGTGCCAGTTCTGCAGCAGTCACAATTTAAAGTTGAGAAAGAGTGGTGAAAAAGGAACGAGTGCTTATTCCGAATTCGGTCATCCATCTGGAGCAGAACAGTTGGAATCGCCACGGCTGTAGGTCGGGCGAATAAGGCCCAATAATAAGGTCACGAATTTGGACTCATTGCGCGTGCTCTGCACAGAGAATCGAAGCGCCCAAACATACATCTGCTCCAGACCATTCTCAATGTTTCGGGCGTACCCGTCCAAGGGCTCTTCTTGCAGGAACGTCGATTTCGCGGGCAAGTTCGTCAATGGTCCAGCTTCTGTTATCAGGCCCTCAATGCCACACTTCATCCACCGGCTTTTCTTGTGAAGGATGAACATAATGGCGCGCCCTTCCCGGCCATAACTTTTTTTCGTTCTTCCTTCTTTGGACTTCCGCGTCAGATAGATCTTCTACACTATGTTTCAAGAATCATTCCTCCAATTCATGTTGTACAGGGGCAAAATTAATTTTTTTTTTTTTGAAACAACGCAGTTCCCTTCTATGGCGTTAGGTTCGATAATTCCGCTAATTTTGACCGTTCAAATTTACTTCCGACTTCTTGAATTTTTGTGCTGTGGCTACCTTAGACCGAATTCCATGAATACTGCACTATCTACCCCTAGCTCAGGTCCTAGCTCTCGAGCTCCTTAGCTTTCCTGCCGCCCTAAACGGTATTGTAGCACGCGGAGTTATGTGATGGCCCCACACCACATTCCCCTATCGCCTGCGAGTTTTAAGTGAGGGTTTTTCAGATGAGTGGCGCGCCACAGATAGCGGGCCAAACTCCAGCCTGCCATAGTCGGGCAATTTTTCTTGCGATCTCCTGTATCTCGGTTTTTCATCGATGGTATGGATGGGTGGCAGTAGTAGAATGCTTGCCTGCCATGCGAGCGGCCTTGTCAGTTCCACGCCGATGCAGTGATGTCTTGGTAGTAGAATATCGACTGTAAATCAAAGCAGTTCCTGTTGAAATGTTTATTATGCAAATATTACACTACATGAAATAGAGGTATTTCATGTGAATGTTAGCGAATGGTGACACGAACCACTTCATCCAAGAGTTCCAAAGTGTCTCAGAAAATCAATAGTTATGTTGTACCATTAGGATATAATCTTTGGCAAGTTTTGAAGACCAGTGAACGTTTTTGAAAGTCTTAAATTTAAAAACAGTAAAACAAATACAGTAGCACACTAGGGGTCTTTAGGAAATGTCCACGTTGTTGCACAGCTACACACGTGGTTTCGCATAGAGCTTCTTTTGAGTTTGTCCGAGAAGAGAACGCGGTCGCAAAAGCCGTTCTTTTTTTCAGTGTTTGCAACTGAAAAGAAAGTAATTAGCGCTAATGGTAATCTTATATAGTCGGAACTTATGGGAGACAAAAGTTGTCAAAGGTAAGCTGAACGCGCATAATCAAGATCGATTATGCAAACGATCGTCTGTGTCTTCGAGTTTGCATTTTTTTTCGGTATCAATAGATCCAACAGGAGTTATAAAGTCCCCCCCATGAATACTTTTGAAAAGGTGACTATTGTGACAGACCAACACAAGCGCTTTAGGTCCAGATCGCTACCCCAACAAGGTTGCGCTACTTGAAGCAGTTGATAGTACGGATTACGATACTCCCAACATTCCGCAAAGAACCCTAGCAAACTTCCAAGTGTTACAAGCTCCGTTTCTACCGGCATCTTTACGATTTCTCAAAACAGATTGCAGCTGCATTTCGGGCGCATAGGTCTTTGTCTTTGGCCCTAACTGAGGATCCGACAAGGTCGCTGGCTGGCAGCAGCGTGCCACTTTCCCCGTTCAGAAGTGCATGGTAACGGTCATGGAGGGTAGCAAAACCCTGTGTCCTCACTCCATCCGCGCTGCCCTCAGCCGGCTACACGCTATGGAGACCCCGTCAGATCGCGATATACAGAGCTGCGCATTCGAGGATAGCGCTCGAGTGGAGTAGGGGGACGGTGCATGAGTATCACTACCATCAACAAAGTTATTATGTACGTTTGAGCGCAAAAACTACTGCAGCTCACCCATTCACCTCCCACATAGGTAAGACTGATCTCGAAAGTGAGTGAGTGCACAGGTTGTCTATCATACTACACGGTAGTTTTAGCAGGAAGTTGCGAAGAAAACTTGTGGGCCGAGGGAAGAGGAGTATGGGCACTATTTACCCTTTACTGCCCGCAGTCATCGCAAATCCGCAGCGGTCTTCCTGACCGGACTTGTTTTCTACCTGTGGGGAGAATTGGCCGCTGAAAAGTTGGCTCGGGGTGTAGTATCAGACCCGGACTGATACTCGAATGAATTGCATCACGGCTTGACTCGCGAAACCTTGCCTGCCGCGCCCGCGGCGCACGGGCGCCACGGCGCCAAAAGTACTGCGAAATCACCAAAGTTCGCTGAAACTGCTTCGCAGTGGGCTAACGTTCGACCCGCTGAACACCGGAATATAGGCCTCCCGCTTGACCCGAAACCTCTTGGCGCTCGCGCCACGGGCGCCGGCGCCAAAACACTCTGAATCACTAAAGTATGATGAAGTACGTTCAGAGCCATGAGAATAGCTAAATGAGCAAAGGGGCTTCCCAAGTCAATAGGTCAGTTTTGAAGACGTCACCACGAGAAACACTCAATTCCCACACGATTCCGTGGGAAATCCCATTTCCCACGAGCTTGCGTGTGAAAGCTGGGCGAGCGCGGGATTTTCGAAGAAGCGTTGGTCATGCATTTTTTCATGCAATTATGTGGAAGTGGTATTCGTGATGTAGGGGGTCAACTACGCGATATCGAGGGTTTTTTTTTTTTTTTTTTTTTTTTTTTTTTTTTTTTTTTTTTTTTTTTTTTTTTTTTTTTTTTTTTTTTTTTTTTTTTTTTTTTTTTTTTTTTTTTTTTTTTTTTTTTTTTTTTTTAGCGAAACTTCGGTGATTTCGAGTATTTTGGGCGCGGCGCCCGTGGCGGCGGAGCTGCTAGAAGGTAGGTTTCGGGTCAAGCGGATGCGATATTCGTGTTCAGCGGGTCGAACTACCCCTGGAGCCAACTTTTCAGCGAATTCTGCCCACGGAGAAAAAAGTCGGTCAGGAACCGGCCTGATTTCGGATGGCTGGGGCAGTAAAGGGTAAATAGTGCCGGAAGTTTGGCCATGGCTCTGGAGACTCAAAGAGAAACTCCCTGCGATGTAATTGCAGATAGTGGCGGCTCAAATGGCAGACGCTCATAGTCGCTACATATACTCTCCAAGAGAAAAAAGCCAAACCGGACCTGCTCGTCTGGAGAACTCTAGACCTGTTCAACAATCATTGAGCAATAGGTGGCAGACCCAATATTCTG